CCAGACTGTGTACACTTTCTCTGTCTCATACCAGGCAGCTGAAAAGAGTATAATCAGCCTAGCCAATTCCCTGCTGGGCCTGGCCAAAATGGTGACCCTAAAGAGCTGCAGGAACTAACTCTCAGAGACTGACTCCAAAGACACTCCCCACCCTTTTTGATTCCTAATTAAGGCAACACTCCCCTGAGTTCTGGCACTTTACCATATAACAGAACATACATGAATGTGCCAGGCTGAGTAAAAAGGAGGCACTTTGCATAGTGGAAAATGGCAGGAATAATAGGTCATACTGGTGGGGGAGTGACACTCAACAAAGACTGCGTCGAATTAAATAAGGTAGATTTTTCAGCTGATGAGAGGAATCACAGATTCTCTGTGAATAGAAACTCCATGTTTCAATAAAGTATGTCTGGGGATATACAATCAACCACCACACAAGGATGGCAGCAGCAAATTAGAAATGCAAACAGAGACAAGAGAGGCAGCAAAAGCAGAAAACATAATAATAATAGAGAACTTTAATTATCCACAAATAGACTGGATCGATCTAATCTCAGGCCAATAAAGAGATCAAATTTCTTGACATTTCAAAAGATTGCTTTCCGGAGCAATTAGTCCTAGAACCTACAAGAGGAGAGGCCATTCATGACCTAGCCTTTAATAATGCACAGGATTTGGTGCAACTGTAAGTGTTATCAAGTGACTTTGCAATAGTGACCACAATGCAATTGGGTTGGACATACCAGTGCACTGGGACATATTCTACCCACCAGTAGCTCAATCCCCCTCATGACATCCAATATGGTCCACCCTTTCAAAATCCTTTGCCTTTTCTTTACTTACTCAGTGGCATGAAGAATGGTCAGCACAAGGGCCAAACAATCACCACATGATCTCTGACCCTAAAGTCAGTCAACCAGGATTTAACCATTATTGGGCACTTCTCAACCATTTTTGAACTGGACAGGGTCACTGTGCCTCAAACCTATACCAATGGAGCCTTCACAATGGCAACAAATGCCCTTGTGGATATAGGTGCCGACTTTTATTTTTGCTGGGCGCAGGGCCTAAGATGATGCCGCCAGTGGCATGACCAGAGCAGAGCTGAGCGAAGCCTGGGGGGGTTTCAGGGGCAGATGCAGGCTGCCTGCTGCAGGCTTGGGGCTCCCCGCCCTGCTGCCCTCCCTCCAGGAGCCCCATGCCAGCTACACCAACAAGTTTAGCCACCCCTTGCCCATCCATCAGCAGTGAGGTGCACAACTCTGTCAGCCTGCAAGGGGAAACCTGCTATTTCCCACGTTTTTCTGTGGTGAACAGAAAAACTGGATCCTGCATGACACCAAGAATCTGGGACAAGGCAAATGCTGTTCCAGAGTCAAGCTGTCCAGGACTGGGACTTGATTTTCTCATTTCAGAACTGTTCTGCCCTATTGGGGATGGGTGGTCACCCTACCCTCTTTCCAAGGAAGCCAGAGCCCACAGACCCCCCAACCATAGTCAGTGCCTATGGTTGTGGACAAGTTCAAACCATGTCTCACATTGTTGACTCATGTCCATTTACTATGCCAGCTGGTAGCCTTCAGGCTCTTTACATTGGTGATGACATTGCCTTAAGAAGGCTGAAACAATATGCTGAAACTGCATATGCTAAATAAATAAATTGGAGGCACAGAGCAAATGCATATTGCAAATCAAAAAAAAAAAAAAATGAAAAGAAAAAAGGAAAGTGGACCAAAAAAAAGCTGGCATTGTTTAATGCCAGAGTTGAAGAGTCAATACACAGAAAGAAGGCTTATTTCAAAAGATGAAAGACCAATCCAAATAAGGAAAATAAAAAAGGGCACAAACTCTGGAAAGTCAAATGTAAAACTGTAATAAGACAAGCTAAGAAAGAATTTGAGGAGAAAATTGCTAGAGACAATTAAGGTAACAATAAACATTTCTTTAAGTACATTAGATACTGAAAAGATGCCAGGGAATCAGCTGGGCTTTTGGATGATCAGTCTCTATAGGGGACCCAGTAAACTACAAACAGATGACCTTACTTCTGTTCCTGTAAAACTGATCAAAACAGCAACAACAACAACAATAATAATAAAAAAGAATTGTTCAGCATATGGATAAACATGAGTTGCTGGGGAGGAATCAACATGGATTTGTCAAAGGGAAAACATGCCTCACCAACCTACTAGAGTTTTTTGAGAGTGTCAATAAGCAGGTGCATCAGGGTGATTTGGTTGACATAGCATAGCTAAACTTCTAAGAAGCCTTTGACATGGTCCCCCATCAAGTGGTCTTTACAAAGTTAGGTAGTCACAGGAATATAGGGAAGGTCCATTAATGGATTAGAAATTGGCTTAAAGATAGAAAACAGAGCAAGTATAAATAGTCAGATTTTAGAATGAAGGAAGTAAACAGCAGGGTCCCCAGGGATCTGTATTAGGACTAGTGCTATTTAACATACTCATAAATACTATGGGAAAAAAAGGGGTGAATAGTGAGCTGGCCAACTCTCTGGGTGAATGGACAACCAAATGGCTGGTGAAATTCAATGTAAACAAGTGTGAAATGATGCACATAGGCAAAAATAACCCAAACTATACCTACACAGGAAAGATCTTGGAATCACTGTGGGCAGTTAACGAAGAACATCAGCTCAGTTCTCAGCAACCATCAAAAAGGCATATTATGTCCTTTATACATTCATGGTGCATCCACACCTTGAATACTGTGCCCAGTTCTGGTCCTCACATCTCAGAAAGATTATAGAACTAGAGACGGTCCAGAGACAGGCAGCAGAGATGATTAGTGGAATGGAGGGGCTTCCATATGAGGAGAGACTGAAGAGACTAGGTCTATTCAGTTTAGAAGAAAGATGCTTAAGTGTTTACAAAACACTAAATGGTGAAGAAAAATTAAATAGGGATTTATTATTTACTATCTCTTAATATGAGAACTAGTGGGGGTCACAAAATGACAAACTAGTAGGTAGTAAGCTTAAAATTAATAAAAGGAATTTTTTTCACACAGCTTGTACTTAAAGTGTGGCTCTCACTGTCACTAGATGTCATGGAAGCTGACAGTTTAGCAAGATTCAAAAAGGGATTGGACAAATTCTTGGAGAAAAAGGTGCATCAGTGACTACTGAGCATAAGAGAACCTCCTAGACCCTAAATGCTGGAGGCTGCAAGTGGAAGAGTCATACCCTGTTCATTCTCTGTCTCAGCACCCATTCTCTGCCACTGTGACACAGGATACCGGGCAAGATGGACCTATGGTCTGACCCAGTAAATGGAAGTTATGACCAGCTAGTCTAAAAAGTGTGACTGTGAAAGGCATTGGAGAAGTGGTAAGGGAGTGGTGGCAGGCGTGGGGGGGAGAACAGTTTCAATTTTCTGGTTATGATGCAGACTGAGAGATGAATGCTTTCATGCCCAGCCCCTTGTAAAACCTTTTTTTTTTTAACTTTTTTTTCCTTTTAATATTTTTATAATAAAGTTCTAAAAGTCTTGTGCACAATGCCACATTGCCAACTTGCTAAGCTTGTGCTCTACCAAACCCTGCAAATTCTTCACAACAGTGAGTGCTACTACCAAGCCAGTCACCCCCTCTCCCCGGCCTGTCCTTTTGTACAACTGCATTTTTATTTCCCTATTCCCATTACCAAAATGCCATCATAAAGTAAACAAAACTACTGCACAATATCTCTAATGAGTCATTGCAGAAAATTGCCTCCAGACAAGATAGGGAAACCAACCAAAGATCAAAAAGTTGAGATGAAAACTGGGACCATGGAACGCTGCCACTGAGCACAGGTCACTTCTTTCTCTCCTCTGTTAAAAAGAAAAAGAAACTAACACACATGCATACACTTATATCAAATTAAAATATTAAAGCTTCAATGCTGGAAAGCGCCTTTGTTCAAGAAAAATATAACCATCTTCGTAAATCTGACTGACTTGGTCTACTGTTAACTTCCACTGAAACATGTGCTTAGTCAGAAGAGCACTTCACAGTGCATTTAGAAGGGAAAAAAACAATCAGGAAAAGCCAAAGAAGCCTATGTTGTCACAGTGAACAGCCAGACTGGATATTCCAATATTCTTTTAAAAATACATATACTATGGCTAAAAAAAGGGGGCAGGGGTGTAACTCAGATAAATATTTAATGGGAGGAAAAACAGGAACATCTTTTAGTGGACTAGCGTCACCGTAGTTCAACACAAGTCAAGAAATACAATTCATTTCCAGTGTCCAGCTTTAATTTTCAAAAACCTATATTGTTGTTTAATGCTAAGCCCTTTTGTCTATACAGTATAAAAATAATTTCAGCTGACTGTTTTTCTGTTTTAAAACATCTGACCAAAAGAGATTTACTATGCTATTCTATGTGCCAGTACAGTGCAATACTAGTTCTTTTATTGAAATAATCACAAACTGTTGCAAGCAAATCATTTGAGGGAAAGCAGGAAGAAAATTCCTCATTCCCTAAAACTCTTGCTGTATCAGGACTGGAGTTACATTTTGCTTTAATTTAATGTTTGTCTCATATTTACTTTTCAATCCTCTTCCTTTAGGGCTGGTTATGGTTGACAAAGAAATCTCTGTATAGAACCTGTCGTGTGCTTTCTCACTCCTAGTTATGAATCCAGTAACATGAGTCAGTTTTGGGTTGCCGAGAAACTACTCTCTTCCTTTACTGAGTTGTTTCCCTTCATTTGGAGCATGCCAGCTTCAGAAAGTAAAACAATAACTGGTCTGGTAAGACTCATTCTTTGTATGGTGAATTCAAAGTCCAACCTATTTGTTGTGGCCTGAATTTCAACCTTCAGCTACTAAGTGTTCCAGTATTGACATGGCAGCGATTATTTTCTGTGTGCAGCTTCCTTCCCCACCCCCCTGCTCCCACATCTGTGTCTATTTCCTGTACTAATATACACATACATAAAAAGTCAGCACAGTTTATTCCCTACATTGTTGAAAAAAATCAAGTCATTTACCTCAGCCGGCATTATTCTCTTCTTTTATTTTGTGAGGTTTTCCTTGATTGTGCTCTGTAGGCAAGACAAAGGTATTTTTAACATGTCTAGGGGCCCTTTTGAGTAATGATTGATGAACTAGTGGCTGACCTTAGCTGTTTAAAATATTTAAGGGCAGAATTCTTCATACAAGAAAACACAAAAATGTAAACCTATTTATTAAAAAAAAAGTATTTAGATGCTAGTGATATACACCTTCAATGTACTCAAAGAAAAATATATTATTCTTGAAAAACAGATATCAAAGACCAAAATGTTGGCCAACAAACTTACCAATGTACCTTTTGAGCAAAATAGAACAAAAATTATATTATTTAACCAACTGTGAGAGAGAATTTCTTGAGCAAATTTGCAGATGACATGAAACTGGGAAGGATAATGAACATGATGGAGGACAAGAGCACAGTTCAGAAGGATTTCGATAGACTGAAAAACTTGGATAGAACTAACAGAATGTTATTCTGTGCTGAAAAATGCAAAATGCTATACCTCAGGAAGAATAATCAAAAACACAGATACAAAATAGGTGACACCTGGCTGGACAGCAGCACTACAGAGGAGGATCTGGGAGTCTTGGTAAATCACAGATTCAATATGAGCCTGCAGTGTAATGTAGCCACACAAAAAAGGCAAATGAGGATTTGGGATGCATCAATAGAAGTATTAGGAGCAAGACACCAGAGGTGATAGACCCTCTCTGCTCAGCACTGTTTAGGTTTCATCTAGTGTAGTATTGTGTGCAGTTTGGGCTCCACATTTAAAAATGATATGGAGAAGTTAGAGGGTCCAGAGGTAGGTGATAAAAATGCTAAAGGACTTGGAAAGCAAGTCATATGTGGACAGGCTGAAGGAAAAGGGAATGTATAGCTTATGGAAAAGTCAATGAAGAGGAGGCATGATAACAGTCTTCAAGTACTTGAAGGGCTGCCATAAAGAAGAGGGAGTGTCAGGGCCAGGCACATGACCTTGATCACTGGCTAATGTGACTGCTCCAGTTCTCTGTGGCTGCCTTGGCTGCTTAGAGCACTACTCAGCATTTTCAAGCACACCTGCAGCTGCAGGCAGGCATGCCTTAACAAAAGCTTCAGTCTACTCTGGCAAGCCTCATGTTGACTGCTGACTCAGGATCTCTTGGCTCTTGTCTCCTAGCTTAACCTCAACTTTGATTTTCCCTGACCCTGCTCTTGGATCTTCCGTGGAGCTTGATGTCTGGCACTTTGATTCTCCTGGCTTCTGACCTTGGCTTGCACCCCAAACTATATCTCTTGGATCTCTGCTTCAAACCCCAACCTGATGCCCTGGTAACCTGCACTCCCATCCCGCTGATCTCCTGGTTGCCCTTCAGGGGCCTGTCTACAGGCCCAGCTGCCTATATCCCTGACAAATCCTCACAGAGAGCATACATTTTCTCTCCTGCTGTGGAGAGTAGGATGTGGACAAATTGCAGTGAAGTAGGCTTAGATTTGATACCAAGAAATAATAGTGGGATAGACTGCCTACGGAAGTTGTGGAATCTCTATCACCAGAGGCATTCAAGAGAAGATTGGACAGGCATTGGTCACGAATGATCTAGACATAGCTATGCCTATGTTCTGCTGTGAGTATTTCCCATTCTTCTGAGAGGTTCGCTGACTGCCACATGGAGCCAGGAAGGAAGTATGTTCTCCTCTTGCTGCTACATACCTGGGGTAGTGGGGGCAGGGGAAGAATGGGGCTTACCTTCCTCAGAAGCATTTGATGCTGGCTGCATTCAAGGCTAGGGATTTTGACTGGGGTGTGTCAATGCTCCTGCTGAGACTTAAGTGCAGAGATTCCTGGCTGAAGGGTCTTGTTCCCCAGCTCAGACAAACTGATTGTCATATTTGGGGGCAGGAAAGAATTTTACCCCATGGTCAGATGATATGGACTTGGGGGTGGGGGGGGCATCCTTTGTAGCAGCAGGCATCTGTCTTGGTTTCTGTCCAGCGTATTGTAACAAAATTTGGAGCAGGAGGATGTTGGCTGCTGTGGTTCTCCTCCTCTATCTGTGGCAGGTTAGGGTGTTATATCTTGTGGTTGTGTGAGGGTTGATAGTGTAGTTTTGTTAATTTTGCTAATATATTAGAAAACAGATGTGTATAGGATGGTTTGGATAATAATGAACCAGCCTCAGGCAGGGGATTGGATTAGATGACCTCTAGAGGTCCTTTCCAGCCCTGCTTTTCAAAATGCCCGATGAACTTTACAACAAGCTATTGAAACCAAAGAAAGTAATGAGAGGGAGGAGAGGAGAAACAAACTCCATTGCCTTTCATAGAGTGCAAGTGCAGTGATCATCTTTAAAAGCTTTCCTGTGCGCCTTGGTAGTTAGATAGCTTCCCATCAGTTTTTCTCAGTATTCTTACTACCAAAAGACAACAGAGATAATCTTGTTACTGAAGTGAAAACTGCATAGAACTTATGACAACCCTCTGTAAAAACAAGGGGAGGCAAGAGTTGTTAAGCTAAGATATTGTCATGAATAAGAGACAAATTAGGGTTTCCTAGCGTGAATCTGCTGGTGGGTAGAAAGAAGCATATGCCATTGTACCTATAGAACTAAGTTCTAAAGATAACTCTGACATATAGCCATCACCCCAAGTAAACCCAGGCAAAAAGTACTCACCTGTGTGGTTTATTCCTTAAAATAAATAAAGGAAAGGATGAGTGGAAGAATTGGGAGAAAGGATAGCTAGGTTCCAGAATTTGTATGATTATGTTGGAGGTGTAGCTATTGCTAGCTTCACCCAACAGTTGAGCATCAGTTTGTGATTGTGAGCCATAGTATATATTCACTACTGAGGCAAAAAGTAGCATCCTTAGGTAGGACACTTCCTCTTAGTCCAGGGGTATCAAACATGTGTCCCACAAGCTGGATCTGGCTTGCAGACTCCCACCATCCAGCCCCTGCTGCTCCCTAGTTCTACGCAGACCCACACAAAGCATGACACACTCCAGACCAGCCCCAGAGGCTGGGCTTCAGATGCACACTGCACACCCCAGGCACCTTGGAGCCATGTTGCACAGGTAGGTGCTTGCAGCACAGATCCTGGAACAGCTTCAACAATCACTGTGTGCTGCACCATCTGGCCAAGGGTGTGTATTGCAGATCCCACAGTAGGCACTACGCTGCATGTAGTGCTCACCCCAGCTGGATTGTGCTACACGCGCCTCCTGCTCTGGAATGCATGCCACACATAGCACTCACCCTGGCACCTCCGGCACTGTCACATGCAGTGCCTGCTCCAGCCAGTCCAAGACTCATGCTGCATGTGGTGCTGTTACCCAAAGCCCTGGATTGGGGAACTAGTGAGTTGTTGAGAGAGGATGCTTGAGAGACAAAGGATTCCACTTCACTAATGCAGGTTTATTTAGCAGCTAGCACATACTTCTGTACACAGAAATATACTAGTTACTTTGCAAGCCAATCTTGCTCCCTCTCCTGTTGATCAAACAGTTCAGGGTCTTGCTCGGGTGGTCAGGAGCATAGTTCTAATGACCCTTTTTCCCCAAACTGTTTTATACCTTTTGTTACTTGCATAGTCGTTCTTTTTACCATGACTATTGCTATTGCTACTGGCCATTTCTAGGTTATTTGCATAATTGAGTTTTCACTGTTGAGTATTTTTTCTAAAACCCTGTATGCATAAAGACACCCAGACAGGCAGGTTTATCACACTTTCTCTTTTTCTGAACATCTTCTTCTCACTGTCCTTGACAAAGGTTCTATTTTGACAAACTTGAAACTGCTTTGTTCAGCTTTAACTAGTTAGTGGCTTTTTCACCAGCCCAGTTGTTATGCAACACCTCGCAGGAGTGGACACTGGCAGTTTTTATGGTTACAGCACCTGTAAGCACTGTGCAGTGCAGGTCCAGGACCATCTGGAGCAGGTGCTATGTGCTGTGGTTCCTAGAGCAGGCACTGTGTGGGGCACAGCTTGGCCAGGGCACGCACTGCATGCAGTGTGATGCTCACTCCAGCTGTTCTGGGATTTGCGCTACATGCTCCTGGTTGAACCGCACCACAGACAGCATCTCTTCTGGCCACAGCAGGATCTGGACTGTACACAGTGAGCAAGCACTAGATTCAGTATTCTGGGGGATGGGAGAGGGTCCATGGGCCTAATCTGGCACATGGAACAGTCCTGTGCCACATAGGGCCAGATACTTTTGATATTCCTGCCTTAGTCTGTCACAGTATTATGCCTTCACAACCATAAATAGGCAAAGTGAGAATGCGGGTTGTTTCGATTTTGGTCTGAGGTGGTTTGAAACTGAAAGTAAACTTTCTTTTGTCATTCAGGGTTGCCAAGTGTATGATAATTATTTTGTTTCTATGATAATGTCAACACTTGTACAATGAAATAATACTAAAAGTGTTCAAAATGTACAATCATTTTTGAGGTAGTTAAATGATGCAGCATATGCAAAACCCAAGTCACTCTCAGGGAGTCTTAACCAACTTCCAGGTTTCCTGTCAGCACTTTTTTATGACCATTTGCCTCAAAATGAAGAAACGCTTTAACTTTGAGGGCCCAGTTCTCCCTCCCTCACTCACTGGTGAGTTAAAGTAAGGAATACGAAGTAAATAAGAAGATGACTTATTGGCATACTTTTTTCTTTCTTTTTTTTCAGTGTACAATCATTTTCCAGAAAATACAATAATTTGAGCTTCCAATATGATAATTTCATATTTAACACCTGGCAAGGCTCTTTTCATTTCCAGTATGTAAAACAAAATGTTTTCAAAAAGTGCTTCCTAGGATTGTATAGCTGCCAGGCTCTGGGACAGCCCTGATCCAGGGGCTTCTGGACTTCTAGACTCCTGAGCCAGCTAGCTCAATTGGGGAAAGGCTTCAGATCCCCAGTCTGGGAGCAGTTCAGACAGCAGGGCAGCAAACCCTGAAGGCAAATCCAAGACTTTCCAGGCTTCAAGTCCTTACTTTGGCAGGAGGCCTAGAAGCCCAGATATCCCTCAGGCTTCCCCGTGCTTTTAGGCTGCCAGTTTCACGGTT